AAGCAGTAGATACCTAGTGCCGCCGCATCCAAGAAAATGACCAGAAACGAAACATTGCTTTCAACGGCTGGACTATTCCACTCTCTCCGAAGATTGTTGTGAAATACTCAAGTCAGGAATTCTGAAGGGTGAGATTGAGATCAAGGAGAAAGGAACCCTAACTCAAATTAGTGAGAGGAGGCTGAGTAGGCGATACCTAGTGCCGCCGCATCCAAGAAAATGACCAGAAACGAAACATTGCTTTCAACGGCTGGACTATTCCACTCTCTCCGAAGATTGTTGTGAAATACTCAAGTCAGGAATTCTGAAGGGTGAGATTGAGTTCAAGGAGAAAGAAACCCTCACTCAAATTAGTGAGAGGAGGCTGAGTAGGCGCCTGGCTCGACAACAATTGAGAGGGAGCGGATTGGAGGGGTAAGCATGGATTTGGAAGGAGACGGGCGATATTGACTTTCAAGTTGGCGTCGACAATGCATTTTGAAACTTAACAATCGATAGTCGCCGGTTAGTGCCTCTGATCCTTTGTGGCCTTGCTAATGTTTTTTTTTCCAGATGCAAATGCTAGATTAGGTCGTTAGGGAGGCGATAATATTAGATAATACGTGGATGGGTGGATGATATGTTCATTGATGGCTAGAAAATGGCGTCAGTCTTTACCTTTTTCGAGTACTAATGTCACTGTGATATATATATCTTAATGAAATAAACGAAATTAAACGAAATTATCTAGAATATATATTATAGCTAATATATTCTCCCTTCTCCTTTATCTCTTACTAGGTATATATATCTTAGAAAGCCTTACCTTACTTCTATCTACTAGGGTTATATATTTAGATCTCTAAGTTATATAAATTAGGAATAACTAGTAAATTAGACGTTTAGATAAAAACACATTATCTATATCTAATTTAGATACGTTATATAACTCCGGAATCGGAATATCCAAATAGTCCGGCGTCGCTATAACCTAATTTCCTTATATAAGCGAACTCTTATAAAAATAAAAGAGAAAGAAAATAATATTAGTAAGGAAGGATTAATAGTATAAGTAATAATAACGAGGACGGGGGCTAAGGAAGATTATTAATACTAATAATTCTATAAATTAAGTACTTACCTTATAGGAGAACCCGGGGTTTTTACGACCGTTTTATAAGCGTTAGTAATTAGACTCCGTGGTAACGAATACTCAGACTGGCTAACTAAACTTGGCTGGGTGTTCGCTGGTTGGTATGCTATGATAAGAAGAAGACTATCGGGTTGTTCACTTGGAAGTGAACTCGTTACTTGTATCAAAGATGTCAAACTAATATGATAAGATTGATAACTAAGTTGAGCACGAAGCTCCTATCTAATGGCAGACGT